CCTTACTGTCTGGTACCTCGCGGCAGATAACAGAGAACTTGGGCTCGCGTCGCAACCCAGGGGCTTGGCCGTCGCCCCGAGGGACCAGTTCTCTCTGCTGGTCAATCAAGTCCCGCCTGCTAAATCGTGGGAAGGAGAATGGGCTCCCGCTCTGCTGTTGGGGTCGCGGCCCGTCTGAGCCAGCCGGACGGCTCCCCCTCACCCCGCGTGCAGGGAGAGCTAGGCGAGAGAAACCAGTAACGTGACTCACCATGTTAACAGAGCTAATAAGGAGAATCACGTTATCTGCCATAGGATAGTGAAAGAAAACTCAAATGCCCAGTCAACAAAATACAAATGAGGGCATTTACTGAAGGTGCAGAATGCACACACTGCAGCCCCAAACAGGCATTCTGACTTAGTGGGAATCACCAGCGGAAATTCTTAATCCACGTACTGAGACAGGTGAAAAAAAATTACACATCTCTATTTTCGATGATGTCCAATAGAAATTTGGCTTTTCCAGGCTGGGTGTGGTGGGTCACGCCTGTAATCCTGGCACTCTGGGAGGCCGAGCGGAGGATCACTCGAGGTCAGGAGTTCGAAACCAGCCTGAGGCAAGAGCGAGACCCCATCTCTACTATAAATAGAAAGAAATTAATTGGAACTAAAATAATTATAGAAAAAATTAAGCGGGCATGGTGGGCATGCCTGTAGTCCCAGCTACTCCGGAGGCTGAGGCAGGAGGATCGCTTGAACCAGGAGTTTGAGGTTGCTGTGAGCAGGCTGAGCCACGGCACTCACTCTAGCCCTGGCAACAGAGTGAGACTCTGTCTCAAAAAAAAAAGAAATTTGGCTTTTCCTTCAAACCATGAATAAGCCACAGTGATAGTAGCAGAATTACCTCGGGGGCTTACTGATAGAAGTCACAAATATCTTCATACCACCCTACAGTTGCTGCAAGTTTTTCAAAATTGTTTGCCTCTCGTTGCTTTGACACCGTGTATTTATTGGACCTTCCACTACATCGTGTTATTTAACCGACGCAATGCTGTTTGCAGTGATATTCATGCTTGGTTTTCCTGAATAACAATACACAACTGCTACTATTTATTTTATGCATTTAGAATCCCAGCTAACAGGGCGTCCTACGCTTCGCGCTGCCTGCTCGAGGGGCAGGCAGGCGAGCGTTATGGACCCCCTGTTGAGCTGGGATTCTAAATGCATAAAATGACAAATATGTAGCGTCTGTGTATTGTGGTATTCAGGAAAACCAAGCAGTGGAACATAATCACGTGAAAACAGCATTGCGTCGGTTATAATAACACCGATGTAGTTGGAACGGTCCAATAAATACCGCGGGTGTCAAAGCAACGAATGAGGCGCAAACAATTTTGAAAAACTTGCGGCAACTGTAGGGCGGTATGGAAGATATTTTGTGACCTTCTATCAGTAAGAAAGCCCCCGAGTAATAATTTCTCGGCCCTGGGTAAACCTAATCAAAAACCCTTGGTTGGTTATTCCATTGGTTGAAGAAAAAGCCAAATTTCTTCTTTTTTCATTGAGAGCAGAGTCTCATGTTGCAGGGCAGTAGGTGGATGCCGTGGCATTCAGCCTCGCTCACAAGCAACCCCAAACTCCTGGGTTCAAGCGTATCCCTGCTCAGGCCTCCGGAGTGAGCCGGACTACAGGCATGCGCCCCACCCATGCCCGAGGTTTTCATATATTTTTAGTTGGCCAAATTAATTTCTTTCGTATTTATAGGAGAAGGGTCTCGCTCTTGCTCAGGCTGGTTTCGAACTCCTGACCTCGAGTGATCCTCCTGTCTCGGCCTCCCAGAGTGCCAGGATTACAGGCGTGAGCCACCACACCCAGCCTGTAAAAGCCAAATTTCTATTGGACGTCATCGAAAATAGAGATGTGATTTTTTTTCACCTGTCCAGTACGTGGATTAAGAATCTCCGCTGGTGACTTCCCACTAAGTCAGATGCCTGTTTGGGGCTGCAGTGTGTGCATTCTGCAGCCTTCAGTAAATGGCCCTCAATTTGTATTTTGTTGACTGGGCATTGAGTTTTCTTTTCACTATCTATGGAGATAACGTGATTCTCCTTATTAGCTCTGTTAACATGGTGAGTCACGTTACTGGTTTCTCTCGCCTTGAGCTCTCCCTGCACGCTGGGGTGAGGGAGCCGTCCCTGGCTCAGACGGGCCGAGACCCCAAGTCAGCAGAGCGGGAGCCCATTGCTCCTTCCCACGATTAGCAGGGCGTGACTTGTTGACCAGCAGAGAGAACTGTCCCTCGGGGCAGACGGCCAAGCACCTGTGGCTTCACACGCGGTACCAGACAGTAGAGGGTAGAATGCAGACGTCTTCCTCTCTTGTGCTATGCAAGCACGCCAGGCGTCTTGTTGTCCGCAAACGGTACCAGGCGTGGAAGGGCATCTCTTGTGCTGCGTCTGGAGGCGCAGGTGCTGTTTGGTGCCGTGGGGAGTCACGTACCAGAAAGTAGCCGGGAAACCAGCCGCGGGACGCCTGCCAAATTGAACAGTACAAAAATAAAACGACTGGTGCTTTAAGCGCTGCAGTCTTGTACCCTCTTTTGTGTCTGTGTGTGTGTGTGTTTTTCTTTTTTTGTCTGTCTTTCCGTGTCCATCCCCTGTCCCACAATCGGGCCATGACACTGGGGGCTCTGTCCTCCCCAACCCTCTTCCCTGGAGGCATCTGAACTTCTTTCCTTTTCGCTCCAAGCAGTTCTGTTCCGATCCGTTCTCGCTCGGTTCCCAGCAGCCGCCCCTCCGCGGGGGGCTCAGTCCTTTCCCCGAGACTCCGGCTGCCCCTCCCCCAACCCCCCCAGACCTGCCGTGGCAGTCACCGGGCGACTCGCCCGCTTGTCACTCGCAGAACGTGGCAGGTCCCTTCCAATGTCGGCTGTCCTCGCTCGCATCGGCTGGTCGCACCCTCAGGTCTCGGTGGACCCTTCCCTTTGGGAGCAGGGATGCCGCGGAGGTGCACGGGTGTGAAGCCCACAGATGGGCCCCGAATTGCAGCCAGGGCCACTGAGTCACCGGCTCGCCATTTGCACAGGACGAGGGTCTGGAGAGAAAAGGTCACCGGTGCCCCGTCCCGGGGTCCCTTCCTCCTCAAGTTCCCCGGGACTGACTGTGAGTCCCCCTTCTCACTGGGGCCCCCAGCCCCGCTGACGTGTCCCAGAAGGTGGCTGGAGTCTCCTCCCTCGGTTGCTGTCTTGACCGGGCCAGCACCTGGTGCGTGGCGGTCAGCAGACCGTCCGGAGAGAGACAGATCCCACTGGCCGAGCTCAGGCCAACCTTTCTTTCTTTCTTTCTTTTTTTTTTAATTTCAGCATGTTATGGGGGTACAAATGTTAAGTTTACGTATATTGCCCATTCCCCCTCCCACCTGCCCGACGTCCGATAAATGTTTTTCCTGTATGTCCACTCAGGTGCTGATCCATTAACACCAATCTGCTGGTGAGTGCACGTGGTGCTTGTTGTTCCATGCTTGGGACACTTCACCCAGTAGAATGGGCTCCAGCTCCAGCCAGGAAAACACAAGAGGTGCGAGATCACCGTTGTTTCTTAGAGCTGAATAGTACTCCATGGTGTACATATGCCACATTGTATTAATCCATTCATGAATTGATGGGCACCTGGTTGCCCATCAATTGTTTCCACACCTTTGTGATTGTGAACTGTGCTGCTATAAACGTTCGAGCTTGCACGGTGTTTTTTTGTAGAGTGTCGTTGGATCTTTTGGGTAGATGCCCAGCAATGGGAATGCTGGATCCAATGGTAGATCCACTTGTATCGCTTTAAGGTATCTCCATATTGCTTTCCACAGAGGTTGAACCAGTTTGCAGTCCCACCAGCAGTGCAGGAGTGTTCCTCTCTCTCCGCATCCACGCCAGCGTTTATCGTTTGGGGACTTTGATAAAGGCCATTCTCGCTCAGGCCTGCCTTCTCACCCGGAGAGGGCAGCCCGAGCCCCGCTGGGGCTCCGTGGACAGCTCGGCAGCCGTTCGCTCGCGGCTAACGGGTAAGTGCCGGCAGCGTCGGATCCCTTGGAGGCAAGTCCTGGCTTTTGGATTCACGTAAAACCTCTCTCCCTCAGTTTCCCCGTTTGTGATAGGACTCCCATAAGTGTGGACCTGGGGAGGGAACGAAATCCTCAGACACGCGGCACCCGCCTGGGGCGCGGGGGGCGCTCGGTGGCGCTGGCTGTCGCGGTGGGGCGCCCGCCGTGCTCAGGTGCACGTGTGACGTCCCGGCTGCAGCAGCCGAGCGCCTCACTCGGAATGCTGCTGTCAGCCGCAGCAGAGA